TTATGTACATTACAATTAATCATGTCATTAACAGAAGAAGAGAGAGCTAAAATCGTGAGAGCCAGAAGGAGAGGATATTCAAAGAAATTAATATCAAAGATGTACAATATTTCCCGATCAACTGTGAGCAGGACTATTCAACGACACAGCGAGCGAGGAGACTTCAAGGACCGTCTCAAATCGGGACGCCCTTCAAAGTTTTCAAGAAGACTTAGAAGGAGGATCATCAAATTTTTTTTTTTTTTACACAGGAGCATATACACTCCTGGCTTCTCGATTTATTGCATTTGCATTTTCGATATGTTTTCACTTCGACCATAGGGCATTTTTGTGGGGAGTGATAGTTGGTGTTGTCTTGTGATTTCGCACTTTCGAATTTGGACTCCAACTTGAGGTCTAGTTCGGGTCAGGGAAGCTTGACTTTCAAAGTAAGTGCTGCAGTTTACCGTCATGCCAAGGACAGGAGGATCATCAAAGCTTTGGTCAGGAAGGAGGTCATCACTTTGGACGAGTTGAAAGCCAAACTTGAACTGAGATACGATACAGAGATATCAACGGCTCAAATATCTCGTATCGCTGCAAAGGAAGGTCTCACCTATCGCAGTTTAAGCAGGAAGAACGATCTAAAGCAAGTAAACGCAGATCAAAGGCTCGAGTTCGCTATGGCTCATCGAGACTGGACAGCGGAACAATGGGAACAGATAGTATTCTGTGATGAGACCACAATTGAGTCCAACATCAAGAACTACCGTCAACACGAGTGGGCTAGACAAGATAACAACACATTCAGTCGAGTTCATGGCATCAGGAGACTTCCCGGAACCAAGGTCAATTTCTGGGGATGTGTCACGAGTGCTGGTGTCGGATATCTCTCTGAGATTGAAGGCAATTTAGAAAACACTCAATACACGGAGATTCTTGATGATGCATACTCTCGATCCATCCGATATTATCATGGCCAACTCCCAGACTTTACACTGGCGATGGACAACTGTCCAATTCATAGAGCAACAAATGTCACCAGCCACTGGAGAAGGAAGAGGATACCCACCCTATTCATTCCCCCATAT